TCGACATCACATCGACATCACATCGACATCACATCGACATCACATCGACATCACATCGACATCACATCGACATCACATCGACATCACATCGACATCACATCGACATCACATCGACATCACATCGACATCACATCGACATCACATCGACATCACATCGACATCACATCGACATCACATCGACATCACATCGACATCACATCGACATCACATCGACATCACATCGACATCACATCGACATGACAATACTACATCAACTAAAACAAACAAACACATCACATCGACTAGTTACCAGGGAAAAAAAGGCATTCGTTAAAGGCATGAGAAAACTTCAAGTACCATCATTTGATGCTTGCTCTTCGAACAGTTAACATGGCTTTCAGATACAGAAAAAGTTGTCCTGTTTGCCACAAGCCTGATCTACAGTTCCTTAGCGATCATTTGCGGCAAGTACATCACCTGTACGGAAGCGAAAGAAAACGTTGGCTTTCAATGGCTCTGTTTTCACAACAAAAAGACTATACCCATAATGCATCATCAAAGGTTAATTCAAGTCGCCCATCCATTTCAACGAACATTCAAAATGGAAAGAAACGAGCTTTGAAAAGCACCAGAACAATCTCCAGCAAGAGAAAAAAAGAAGATATTTCCCTGGTTACTGAGCCATATCCAGATTTCAAATTTCGACACAAGTTTTCACTTTTAGTTGTTGGACCAACTCAAAGCGGAAAAACACATTTTGTTCAACAAATATTAAAGATTGGATTCTCTACGGAACGAGCAAAAAGCGTCGAATATTGTGGTATTACACACAATGGCAAGATAGCTATCAGATCATGAAGAGAATGTTCAACAAGGAAATTTCATTTCACCAAGGCTTGCCTAACTTTACCGAAGATTTAAGAGAAATTGATTCAAGCTTCAATAACCTTATCATCCTTGATGATTTAATGGCTGAAGCTATTGATAGCCCCATCGTCTCACGATTGTTTACACAGGGTCGACATAGAAACGCCAGCGTGATTCTTCTTTTGTAAAACATGTTCCCTAAAGGAAAGTACAACACTGATATAAGTCGCAATGCTCAATATATCGTTCTCTTTCGAAGTCCAAGTGATAGAAAACAAATTGGGATCGTTGCAGAAAGAATGTTTGATAAACAAAGAAATCGATTCATGGAAGCCTTTTACAGGGAAACGCAAAAACCTTTCGGTTATTTGCTCGTGGATAATAAGCCAGATACACCTGTAGACAAACAGGTTGTTGGAGACATTTTTTGGCAATGTCATGTTTATTCTTCTATCAACAAGGCTAATGAAGAGAGTGGAAGAGCCAAATCATCAGCTGATGTTAGTCAGTCACGGGCCCCTTCAGTTTTCTGGTCCGATGCTATCATACCTGTATGGCAAAATTACACGAATGATGTCAAATATGTCAAGTCTATACCCCAAGGTTATACCATAGTGGAGATGTATAAAACCTCCCGCAATCCACATCATCCAAATCAGCCGGGCGTTAGCTTAGGAGGTGAACTTTACTGGCCCGTTAAAATAAGAAACCTGTGCAATGGGAGTTTTAAATGGGTGAACCTCCATGAAGATAATACAAATGTTAAAATAATCGTCCAAGAGGCTCTTGCGGGCGATATTATCTCTTGACTATATCAATTATCAAATGAAATTAAGTTTAGATAATGATATTGATAACAATAAAAGATTCAATTAAAAATGGTCTGATGCATCACAAATGTCTTTTTTCAACATCTCTGCCCGGGATTATTTTGGAGCATCTCGGGGGCTTTCCGAGGGCGCCTCAGATCATTCCGGAGCTTCCTAGATCCTTTCGTTTACATAATCAAGGGGTTTATGAAGAATATTTTCTCGGGCTTGCTGTCCCTTTGTGAGGGACAGGAARCCCGACAAAAGGGGAGGCAGCGAATCATATTGTTGTTTCATAATTTAAAAAGATATTATTGTATTTTTCTTTTCTGTAACTAATTTGTTTAAGTAAAACATTTTTTTCCAATAATGAGCCTAAGAACAATCATTAGTGTAGCAGTTTTTTAATAAAAAGAAATATCAGTTACAGCTGCTGTCATTTCTCTTTAATGATCATTATTCACTGTAAACGATTATTTACAATTTTTTGTTATATTCCTATTCCTTCAAACAGTTTCGTTGTTGAACCAGAGGCGATCGGTCCCTTTTTCCATTGACTATATAACAGTCTTTGCGATCAATTCCAAAAAAGGGACCAAAACAGGAATTACGATGATTTGAGATACGTTTGCCCTTAAGTATTGCTTCAAAAATCTGCTGATCGGTCCAAGGCTTACTTGAGCTGGATTCTTGTTTCGCTGGAAAGAATGCGCCAAAGGGCACAGCACAAGGGTTACGGTGATTTATTATAGGTTTGTTCGTCTCTGATTGCAGTGATTGAAAGGTCTGCGGAAAGGTGCAAGGTTCACGCCCAGCTTTTGCGCCTTGAAGCGATGTTTCTATGCCTTGCTTTTGAGGATTCGAGTGTTTGGATAATCCATAAGTATCCCACGAATCAGAGTTAGGTGCTTTTCGATCTTCTATCTGATGCGGAAGACCAGGAAAACAGATTTTTGAAGCTTTCAACATTGTTTTTCCAATGTGGTAGATGTCACTGCATGTCCTCCATGGACGGCTTATTAAAGAATTAAGGATTTGTTCAGGACGTGAATTCGCCCATTTTATTTGAAGGCGAACTCCGAAGACCGTTTCCCAGGGAAGTTTGAAGAGGTCTGAGATATATACCCGCCATGAAGGGTCAATGTTAAAATCGAGGTACTCCTCGCGGCCACATACTTCACTGGCTAATTTCCACACTTGATTGGGATCCACCAACAGTTTAGCCTCGTTATAATACAAAAGATATGCTTCATTGTCTTCCATCATCATACACTGGTGATGCTCCTGACCACGACGTTTTAATTTACAGCCTTCACACGAAGAATCGACCAGTTTGGCGATTTGATCATCGCAACGCGAAGTATATGAGAGTTGCAAGACCGTTGATATCAGTTCCAGCAGAAAAGCACGTTCTGCTATTTCTCTATCTTCCATCGTGAAATATTACAGCAACAAGTTATATGAAACTTACAAGTCACTCAGAGCGAAGAGTGACTAACAGACCAGATTCACTCAATAAATAACCGCTTAGGCGAAACAATAGAGAACAAAAGGACTATTGTTCGGGGATTAAGTGAAAGGCCCACAAAAATGAATCTATAATAGCCCACAAATATATTAGCCCACAAATATTCATGAGCACACAGATTTTCACCACAAATCCCACAAAAAACGGGGTCCCAACTGAAATGTAAATGATAGTAAAGCTTACATTGTAAGTGCTGTTTTATAACTCTCTCTCTTTTGTTTGGGAGAACTATAGGTTACGTCGTTAGTGTGAATAAATTAACTACCTCCTCAAAAAATACTGAATGTAATTATTTTCTCCTCACATTTTTTTCACATCAAATTTTTTGAGGAGATTTGTTGGTGCGGCCATTACTACTAGTTTCAAACTCAAGCAGGGCACATTGAGATTTTTCGACTGCCTGAAGTTTAGTTCCAGAAGATAACGTGCGGCAGTCGATTTCTTTTGTTTGAAAAAACGTTGAAACAACTGTAATTTCAAGTGCACTTTGAGATTTTTCGACTGCCTGACGCTTCGTCCAAGAACTAATTGTCAGGCAGTCGATTTTTTTGTGAAACTGTAACATCCTCTCAATATCCCTTTCCATGGTGAGTGACTCTTTCTTTTGTTCAAAAGTTCTTAATTATTTTCGGGTTGGTCTGACGTTTTTGTGAGCATTAGTTAGACCCTATATATTTTGAATATTTTTTGTTGTATAAAATCTCTTGAACAACGCCGTAATTTCACCAAAAGTTCTCTGACAAGTTGACATATTCATTTTGGTACAGGTAAATGAAGTTTTACTCTGTGCGATATATTTTTACATATTTGTAGGTTTTATTTATTCGTACAAATTACGTATATCATGGGGTAATA